ATGCAGAATCTTTTCTGTTTTCAAACTAATTTGGGGATTGTTTTTGTATTTTTAAGAAAAACGTCATTGGACTTTTTATTGGGATTGCTTTGAATCTATAGATTGCTTCAGGTAGCATATCCATTTTCACAATACGAATTCTTCCAATCCAAGAACCTGTGATGTCTTTCCATCTATTTGTGTCTTCTTCAATCTTTTTTATCAGTGTCTTACAGTTTTCAGTTGGTTAGATGTATTCCTAGATATTTTTATTGTTTTTGATACAATTATAATGGGGATTACTTTTTAATTTCTCTTTCAGATAGTTCATGGTTAGTGAATAGAAATGCAACTGATTTCTATACGTTGATTTTGTATCCTGCTACTTTACCGAATTCATTTATTAGTTCTAACAGTTTTTTTTTCTTTCTTTCTTAGTGGAATCTTTAGAGTTTTTTACATATAAGGTCATGTCATCTCTCACTAATAAGACCCAATTCATTTCCTCTGGTTCTGCTTTAATTTAATTCACTCATTTATATATGTGAATTGAATATTTCCAATGTGGCATGTGGTAAGCGCACCAAGGATAAAGTGGTGGACGTGACAGCCATATATCAACCGATGTCTTCCTCTTTAAAAAAAAATCCATTTCCGGGGCGCCTGGGTGGCTCAGTGGGTTAAGCCTCTGCCTTCAGCTCAGGTCATGATCTCAGGGTTCTGGGATCGAGTCCCACATCAGGCTCTCTGCTCACAGGGAGCCTGCTTCCCCCTCTCTCTGCCTGCCTCTCTGCCTACTTGTGATCTCTCTCTGTCAAATAAATAAATAAAATCTAAAAAAAAAATCCATTTCCTAGGGCCATCTTGTCTGGTTTCCAAGGCAAAATTCTCAATTTCCTTATCTGATGAAATTTATATTAAGCTAGCTTCTCCAATCTAATGGCTAAGTGATAATGTCCTTGCTCCCAAACAGCATCATCAGGAACTCTGTTCTGAGTGATCACCCCTGTGCAGGGCTAATGATCAGTTAGTTCACATCAGTACAGATGTCCTGGTCATTCAATATTGACATACGCCAAAATGCTGCTTTCAGGCCATAAGTGGAATCCAGAAAGTTATAATGTGAAATGAATGTGTTTGAGGGGTGGGTGAAGGGAAGTCTTACTTGGAAGTTAATGGAAAATGATATTCCACATGGGTCTGAAGGAATACAAAGAAGCACAAATGTAAAGGAAGGGAAGTTACTCCCTTTCACTGCTGATCACATTCTGAGCTGAGAAAGTCTCATGGTCACCTTCTAAGCCCATCCCATTCCAGGTGACATGGGAACTTTAGACATTGATTCAAGAAGAGTAGGGTGGGGACAAGAGACAAACTCCAACACCATCTTGTTCCTCCAGCCTCTGCATGATCTGGCAACCAAAGAGCTAATGCTTGCTACCTGGTTTAGTTCTCTTGGGAGTACCTATCCCCAGCTGCTCATAGTCTTGGAATCCAGGACTGGGATGAATCCAGGTATCCATCTACCTGACCTCTCTCTCCTCTTATTCTGTCTCCCTAAACAACTGGACCTTAGCAGAACAACAAATCTCATCCTTTTAGTCTTGAAGGGTTAATATACCCATTACTGGCCAGAGTAATGGCCTTGGGATATACCCTTCGGATAGCTCAGCCAGAGGCCACCACAGGCTCTCTCTGAACCCATGGATTATTAGGTACTCTAGACTTTCTTCTGAAGAATGTCCTAGGGCATGGTTGGGGCCAATGACAGTTTGGGCCTAGGAGATGCTGGGGATATAGGTTCTAGTTGTCATAATTTTCTATTTCATTCCAACTCCATTTAATGGACAGAATTTTTTAAAAAAATCTGCCACCTAGTTACCAAGGGAATACTAACGATATTAATTGTATTAAGAAAAGTTAGAACTAATATCTTTTTAAGATTTATCCTATGTCAGGTGTCCTTCTCAAATATCACTCACTAAAATAGAATACTAAGAACCATCACCCCCACGAGGTATGGAAACTTATATAAAACTTGAGTGACAGAGCTCTGATTCTAACCTTGACAACCACCCAAGAGTATGCCTTCCATTCAGCCTGAAGGACTAGGTATGAACTTATGAAATATGACTTTTCAAATATGCCAACTTATTATTGTAAACTATTTTCATAGGCCTATCAAAGTTATTTAAAAAGACTGACACCTGCCATAAGACCTAGAAAAATGTTTTAATATAATTGCTATCAGTTTAGTAAAAACTTAGAGATAAAACAACAGCATCAAAAATAATGTTAATGGGAAAAGACTTATTATTGGTATTACCACAGATCATCCCATGACTATCAATTTAAAGAGGGAAATTATTGGAAGAAAAATGATATGATAACTATTGGATATTTGATGAAAAATTTGCTTTTCAAATTTCAATTCAGTAACTAACTGTAAATTTATATACAGCTTGGGGAATAAGAAGGCATTTTAAAATTAATGATACATGCAATTTATGTAAACTTACTTAACTTGCTTTGTCATAATCTGGTATGTCTTGTGTGGACCAGGCCTCTTCCACACTCTTTGATTGGCCCTCTCTGTGGGCTGGGGCTGGGAATAGTACATTTCTTCTAACGGGAAGCATTACAGCAGAGACTGTACATAAGCACAGAGCCCTTGGCAGTGAAGCTGTGGAAGCGATTTAAGCTCTAATAAATATTAACTTTTGCATGCAGGACTGGCTGCATAATTTGCAGGGCCAAGAGCAAAAGGAAAATTCACGGCCCCTTGTTCCAAATTTATTAAACATTTCAAGATGGTGACAGCAGAGTATTAAGCCAAGCACTCAGCCCTGTTAAGCATGGAATTTGTGATATTGCACAGGTCACATACCCAGGAAGCTGGCCCCGTTTCTATGTTATAAAAGTCTGGAACTTAAGGACACGTTTTATTAAGAATTGTACTGGCAACAGTGAAGAGATCAAGAGGAGAATGATAAAGAAATGAAAATAAATTTCTGGAAAACAGGAAGTGAATAAAAGCATGCTGACAAATAAAACAGGAGTGGGGGTTGGGGGAGGGGAGAAATTGCAGCCCAACGCAATTTCAAGAAAGATATGCAGCAGAATTGCGAATGGACTTTCCAGGCATTATCTGGATCTGGGGCTAGCAGGTGCAGTGTGAGGAGATGAGACCCAAAGTCCAAGAAGTGTATTAGTTGGTGCTTGCAATTGGTGAATGGCAAAAGTAGCCTAGCAACTCCAAGCAGGCATAAAACTGGGATCTCATCTCCAAAGAAATTTAACCAATAGCCCAAGGAAAATTAATGCTATTAATGCTATTAATGCTATTAAAATTTAATAGAAGTTTTGGAAGATAACATCGATATATCTCCCCAAACATTCAGAAGATAAATACGTGAGGGGGAAAATGATAACTATAAAAAATTGTCCTAGGAGGCTGCCATCTGCCTAACAGATTTCCTGAACATGCTAAATCAGAGAAAATGGCAATAAAGAAATTTCAAAGAAATACCAGAAACAATTTCCAGAGAGGAAGTGAGAAATTAATCTTCCGCTGAAAAAGGGCCAAATTGGTGCTAAACAGATTAAATTTAAAAAGACCCCCAACTGGAGATATTATGGTGATATTTCAGAACATGGTAAATAATTAAAAGATCACAAATGCTTCACAAGGGAAAACAACAATTCTCTGCAAAGACCTGAGGAGATTGACACATTTCTGGGCATCAACATTGGAAGTATAGGTCAGTGGAACTATGCCTTTGAGATGGAAAAGAAACTGATATCGAACTTAAAATTCCATGCTAGGCAAATTCTAAAGGTGTGGGCAAAATAAGGACATTATTAAATATACAGCTACTCAAAATTTGTGCCTCCTGTACCCCGTTTTAGAGAGGTTTACTTGAGCGATAGTCCAACAAGACGTATACAAGAAAGGTTGGTTTAAACTAAGGAACCAAGTGAAAGAAACCACACATCACCTCTCAGCTGGAAGAACAGAAATAACTAGTGTAAGAGCAGAAAATTAGTAGGTTCTTAAAGTCTTCAAGAAGAATTCATTGATGGGGCGCCTAGGGAACTCGGTGGGCTGGCTAAGCAGATGCCTTCAGCTCCGGTCACGATCTCAGGGTCCTGGGATCCAGCCTCCAGGCTGGCTCCCTACTCAGTGGGGAGTCGGTTTCCTTTGCTTCTCCCCCATGCTTGTGCATGCTCTCTCAAATAAATCAATAAAATCTTTAAAAAGAGGAATTCATTGAATTTCAAGCAACAGAGAGGAATGAAAAGCTGTATGTTCTTAGAGATAAGGTAAAGAAGGTACAGGAAGAAAAAGGAAAGTTAGAAAGTCTAGTGAAAAACAACAACAATGAGAATTGTACAAAAAAGTCATCACTCAATAGAAAGCAAACTAAAATGTGGCATAATTTTGAGTGCAGTATGAGAAAAGAGAAGTCGTTTATCTGTGGGTATTCCCCTTCTTGGGACACAGAGGTCCACGACTCCCAGCTGGGTGCCGGGAATACAGACTATGCAGTTCTTGTATTCGAGAAGCTTATAATGCAGCGAGAGGCACGACCGTAGGAACCGGACTCAGGATAGCGACTTCTGAACACTGAACCACAATTAAAGAAGCAGCGCACAGAGGAAACTTCTCCCTTTCCCAGCTCGCAAGTTCAGCTCCAACCCTTTCACTCCGCTGCCCCGTCCCAAACTTTCCCACTTCCGCCCACAACTCTCCGCGCTACGGCCCATAAACTGAGCCTGCGCGAACAGTAGTGCGCTTGCGCCAAGCCCAGTCCTCTCCCAATGGCGAACGCGAGCGCATTTCAGGGGGACGCCCAAACCTCGGGGGGGCGGAGTCTCGAAGGCACATGACGGACCTGATTGGTCGGCTACGGGTAACATTACTTTGTGGGCGGAGCCTCACCCTAGAGCCACGTCTAGCGAACTGTTCTCCTAATTTGGGAAGGGTCAGGCGCCGGCTGGGCGTGGAGCTGAGAGCCGCAGGGTGTGCGCCTGCGCCGAGCTACGGGCTAGGGCGTGTTCCTCGTTCCGGTCCGCTTTTTGCACTGACCGAGTGCACCTCCTGCCACTGAATTGTGCCCTGCGGAAGCCCGTGCTTCCCTCGCCCAACCTGTTAGGTGCTGCCCTCCGCGGTGAGTGTGTGTGGCATCGCACTTGGGTTCCCCTCTCTGCGCGCCACCCACTCCCCTGCCCCGCCGTCCCTCCCCCTTTCCCTGCCTCCAGACCCTGCCCGCCGATGCCCACTCTCCAAGGCTGGGGGAAAACTGGACACTGCCAGCCCGGGGCGTCTCCCCTTTCTATCCCTGCACACCCCTGGCCGTCGCCCACGTGCTTTGTTGTTGTCGTTTGGTACAGAACATGTCCAAGTCTTTGAAAAAGTTGGTGGAGGAGAGCCGGGAGAAGAACCAGCCGGAAGTGGACATGAGTGACCGGGGCATCTCCAACATGCTGGATGTCAACGGCTTGTGTAAGTTCTGGGGCTGGGCCTTCCGCTTGCAGCACCTGGAGGGTTTATAAGTTTTCCAAGTAGCTGCCGGCTGTGCTATGAGAGGTTATAATGATTTACATCCCACGCCCGGCTTGTAAGCATCGCTTGTCTAGAGAGAGAGAGAGAGAGAGCGAGAGCGAGAGCGAGAGCGAGAGCGCTGCGCTTAGCTCAGAAAGTTTGCATTTAGGGTATGTTCGGTCCCGACTGGAAGACGAACCTGAGTGTCCAGGGTAAGAATCACACAGACAGTTGTTACTGGACCTCATTGTTGTCTGTGCAAGTTGTTGGCATTTGGGTGGCTTTCCCACATAGTTTACTGAATACCCACTTTATTTGAAACTGAAAATCACTTTTGAATCATGCTTCCTTTCTCCTAATACAGTCTTTGACCCTTGAACAATTGCCACACAAAAGTTCTGTGATAACTTAATGTCTGGAGTATGTTAAACCTTTCTTGACTCCTTACCCTTTTCTATCTCTTTTTCCCCTTAGTTAAGTCGTTTACCTCCTCCTTGTGCTACTGTGATGTCTCCCTAACTTGGCCTCTTACCTCTGGTTTTGCTGATCCTGTGGTTTATTCACTGCATTGCTTTCTAGTGTTACTTTTCTGCAACATGTCTTACCGTGTAACTCTCTCCTTTAAAGCAGAAATTGCAGCTTAGATGTTTTTTGGGGCCAGGTGAGGATGGTCATGAACTTCACAGTAGGTATCCTGTCAGAACAGGGACAGCTGCTACTCCTTCTCACATCCAAACAATTGTTACCACCTGGGGTTGGCCTCTTGTTGCCATAGTTATTGTTGTTAAGAAGCCAGGAATCCAGATTTTGATATGAAATCTCCTAAGGTTTAGACATTGGCAACTAATTCCAATTATTGAAACATACTTTATAGGAGAAATAAAACACTTCTTCAGGCTGAATGTGGCTTCAGTTTGGACCTTCTCCCTTAAGCCCTTCTGGTTGTTCATTACCAACAGTAGCGCCCCAAGTTCTTTGGTGTGACATGCAGAGCCTTTCGGAATCTGACCAAAACCTCCCTTAGTTCCTATCCCTTTCATGCCTCTGTGGTCCCCGCCATACTGAACGGACTGCCCTCCTTGAACCAGGACATACTGTTTTAGGTCCTTGTGCCGTAGCAGTATTGTTTGCTTCCTCTCCTCTTCCCCCCCGGATCCTCTCACTTACCTGTCAGAAGTCAGCCCAGAAGCCGTGGCCTGTGTGAAGCCTTCTCTGTCAGTGTCAAGTGACAGTCCTTCTCTCCGCTGTGAAGTTGGATTTGTCTTGCTGCATGGCTCTTGTTACATGGGATTGCGATGATTGTGATGTGTTCTTAATCTAGATGTCTCTCATCCGCATTGGAGAATGGGGGGAATATTACTGTGCATCCCTCATATTTGCCTTCTTTCTGGTGTCTGGAACACAGTAAGTGCTCCGAGATGTTGGATGGATGAAGGAGAGCCTGATGGATCAGGCCTGAGGCTTAAGGAGATCCGGACCAGGACGTGACATTAGAGAAGGAGGGGAGATGTCCGGGAGACCCTAAAAGATGATGCTTTGCTCGTTAGGCATGGAGAGAGCAGAGTCACATTTACTGTGAACCCATGGTTTGTGCCCAGGACAGAGTGGGGTGGGTGCTCTAGATACATCTCTGCTAAAGGACAGGGGATGAGAAGTCCTAGGCAGTCTGCATTCGGTAACTCTTTGGACGATTCCTGCCACTGGGCTTTAGCTTTTGTGCTCATGAGCATCTCAGCTTCTTGAGCTGAGTTGGTGGTGATGGCTTCTGGCGAGCGGCGCCAGAGCCACCATGTCTGGGACCGAACTGGCCATTGCCGATCTGGATGTGTGCTTGTGTTGCCCCTTCCTGGCTCTGCCTAGGTCATGGTGAGTCTTGGGCGCCTCCTATTATCAAGGCTGGGGAGTGCAACCAGCGGCCCGGCTCTGCTGTAGCTTTGGCCCCATGGCTCTCTCCTGCTCTGCCCTGCAGAGGAACTTCATAGCCTTCGGCCGTGAAGAGGATTCTGTACGTGATATTTGTAAGTGGAGAGGGCGACACAGCTATTTTGGTTCACTTGCATTATCTGTTTGAAGCCTTGCCTTGTACCAAAGAAGAAAAGATAGCCACTTGCTTCCTGAAAAAGAGGTTTCCGGTGTTGTATTAGGTGGTGAAAAGCAAGATCTTTCTTCTGTTCTCCCAGAGAAGTAGCGTGAGGAAGAACAAGGCTGACTCTTGGGGAGTTTGCTGGAAGTGAATTTGGAGATTCGACCTCCTCCAGCCTCTGTGGTGTGTGTAGACCCGAAGAGTGGCTGCTCTCTGCCTTGCCTCCCTGACCTCTGGACTCGTGGGGCCTGGAAGGTTCCAGGATGCCTTCAGAAGCCGATTCCTAAGCTGGGGCTCACTTATTGGTGGTGCACATAATGCTTCCTGGATCTATTTTAATATCTTATATGTTAAAGTATTTGACATGGTTGCATAAACTGTGGCATTAGACTTCCCTTGTTTCTTTACTAGTAAAGTTTTAACTGTAATGGCGAGGTTTTGTGTCTTAGCATGAAGATTAAACACAGGGGACAATTCATTCACGTGGACAGAGAATGGTTATTGTGTCTTAAGCCCTTCCTTCGATATCCTTACTTTGTTGAGTTTCTCAAAAGACGAGAATTAAGTTTTGAAAATAAGAATGGGAGTTTTGTTCTTAGGCTAAGCACGTGAACTGTCCGTCTTTCTGCTTGGGAGAATTGTGTCATATATATGCAGCACTTTACTTCCTTGGAGACAGTAAATGGCTTTGCAAAAATGTTTTCAGGAGCTCACGTACCAAAAGCTTTCTGATGGGGAAAACTTCATAGGCTGGAGACAAATAGCAGACAGATTCTAGAGTTTTCCGTTGAGCCAGATTCTGGAGGTGGTCAGACTCTGCCACCCACCCCTTCCCCCAGGAGGCAGTGCTTACCTGTGGGGCCTTGGAATTGCATAGGCCGGACTCAGACTCTCCATCTTCTGAGTAGTGCTGTGTAACTTCAGAGAACCTGCTTAACCTTTCTGAGCCTCGAGTCCTCTTCAGCACATGGAAATGTTAAGTTCCCACGTGTTAGGACTGGATCAGCGCTAAGGGCAGCTGATGCTGTCGAGTGCTTAGCGCTGAGCCTGGTACTGAGTGGGCACTGCTGAATGTTAGCTCTGACAGGAACAACCAGGCAGAGCCCGGGAAGCCTCGGGTGGAACTGGTTCCCACGTCGTTGGTGGACAGGACCTAGGAGAGCATGGCGAATGAGACCGGGTCTGGTCTTTGTGTCCTATGTTGATGTTTTCTCTGGTGGCTTAATCCATCCTGGAGCGCTGGGCGCTTTTGCCTAGGATTCTTAAAGATTTAGATTGCTGTTTTCTTTGAAATTACCCCCTGATTTGGTTTTCCTTCCTATTCCCCCCCCCCCACAACACGGCAAGAAATCCACACCCGCCTTCTCCTTAGCACTTCCAAGAGTAATGGTGGCAATTTTGTTCTCCTTATCGACGAGATCTCACAGAGGAGCTCTGCCCGCTGCGGCTGTCCTCACCCGCATGATGAAGCTGCCTTCCAAGGCTCCTGTAATCCGCTTCCAGGCCACAGAGAATCCCATTAGCAGCCAGGGAGACTTTTTTTATTTCTTTTATTTAAGTCTTTTGTGAGTTTTTTTTTTTTTTTAATCTCTTCAAGTTTATTGCCCTCTGGATGGTCAAACCTTTATCAGGTTTTGGTTGTGTATGTTTTTTTTTTTTGTCTTTTTTTCAGGTGAGACTAAAATATCTTTCAGATAAATTATAGAAAAGAAAAATAACCTGCCTTTGAGGCCGAGGCGTGTTCTTGCTAAAGGACCACGTAAAGTAATCAACAGCCGTAATCACGGGTGTTCTGGAAGGGCTGTTTCAAAAGCGCCGTTAAACCTGGAAGTGGTCCACCTATTAGGAGTTTCTGTCCATGCAGGCTGTCTCTGAGGAAAGGTGAAGGAGCTGGGAGGACCGCATCCTGTTAGCTGTAATCTTTAGTAAGACGTTTCCTTTTTTTTTTTTTTCTAAGTTGCTTGGATATGGCCACCCTTACGGTTTTGAACCTGTGGTATCTTGGCAGGGGAGGCCCTTTTCCCTTTTCTCCCCAGACAGCGTCTTCCATCCCTTGTCAGTTAGCGCTTGTTGAAGGAAGGAACGACCTGCCCATCTGCATGGCTCCAGTCTTGGGTCACCTCCTCCAAGAAGCTCCCCCAGTGCTAATTTTAACCACCGTCCCGTCAGCCTGGTGTAAGTAGCTCTTCCGGGCCTGCCTTGCATACCTGTTTACCTCTGTGCTTCTCGAAAGTTCTCCGAAGGAGGACTGACTGCTCTCAGGTAAGAGTTGGGGTGAACTAGGCTGGAAAGCGAAGCGGAGAGGGGACGTAGCCACAGGCTCCCTTTTGCAGATCCCTCTCTCCCCAACTCTCCAGAGGGAGAGCCCCTTACAACCAGCAGGAACAGGATACCAACTGCTCCGAGTTCTAGTTTTGACTTCAGGACAGTGTAAGCACTGAAAAGGCCTCCCCCAGATAGGAAATAAACTACGAACGATTGTGACCCCTTTGGTGTGACTGAACTAATAACGAGCTTTCGCTATTTTTCAGTCATTTGGCATTTCAGCCATGGCCTTTTTTTTGGTAAGCAGCTGTTTTTTCTTTCTTGCCATGTAACCTTGGGCAAGTCACGTAACTTCTCACGTTTCTCATCTATAAAACCGGACTAATAAAATTAGCTCCCTCAGAGAATTGCTGTGCGTTGTCCTCTGTCAGGTAGCTGGGATGGCATCTGGCCTGTCTCCGTCCACTGGGGCTCCTATAACAGGACCACAGACTGGTCCAAGCAACAGAAGTTTATTTTTTACAGTTCTGGAGGCTAGAAGTCCAAGATCAAGGCACAGGCAGGTTCAGTATTCAGTGGGGATTCACTTCCTGGCTCATAGACAGGGTGAAAA